ATCCGTTAATTTCCAGTCTTCTGGATATATGCATTTAGAACATTGTTCTGGTTACTTATTCATTAGGTCGCCCCTTTAGGCGCGTATGAACATTGCACGGGACGATTGGATACGCGCCAAGAGGTAACAGGTTTGTTTTCACATCAACTTTGATCACTGATTAAACGTAAAATTAAAATCAGTGATCAAAGTTGATGTGAAAACAAACCTGTTACCTCTTGGCGCGTATCCAATCGTCCCGTGCAATGTTCATACGCGCCTAAAGGGGCGACCTAATGAATAAGTAACCAGAACAATGTTCTAAATGCATATATCCAGAAGACTGGAAATTAACGGATCTTGACCAGTGACTAGTAGTGACTCAGCGAACTCTACCTAAATAGAAAGTGTTGTGTTACCCAGCCATATTTGGATGTAAAAGCGGGATACTCACGTTAGCTGGAATTCGTAAACAACTAAGCTTCTGATATTGCAACAGACATTTCTCAACCAAGTTCAGCTTAAACGGGCTTCACAAATCAGTATGAGTTTTGATGGAAGAGCCGGAATCAGAAAAAGGCGTGTAATACCAGCGTGAGCTTTGACGAAGAAGATAAAGAAAACCTGGAGGAAAACCGCCAGGTGACTCCGATAGAAACTTCGAAAAATGTCAGGAATACTCCAAGAAAAACAGAAAGGATACGAAGAATCATTTCAAATCAAAGTATAACAATGATTTCCTTCTCCATGATCATCTCGATAAAATAGTTACCTTACTACCTCCCATTCGCCATCACAATCCCCCATGGAAATCCAATGTTAAATTGATAAATGTTCATCAATTAATTGATGGATACCAACCACAAGGGCAATTGGTGAACAGCTGCTAGTGCGAAACAGAGGACAGATAAATGCCTCTTCGATTAAAGATGATATCTCTTCACTGTTGTTACAGTCACCTATTATTAATGAATGACAACTGTCAATCACCACAATTGAATAACTGAAATTATTTCCGAATTCCAGGTATGCGTAAATTTGCTGTTAGAAACTGTAGAATAATGTGTACCTCCTCCTCGGGCGGATGAATCTGTGATGAATGGTGGACAAGACACCAATTTAACCTTAGGGAAATATTCACATTCAAACTTCAATCGATGAAATATATGTAAAAAAGTAGGAATAATTTGCAATAGAATCTCTTTTTTTAAACAAAAAACATAATTTTTCAGTTGGTTTAAGACAGACACTAGAAAAATTGCCCTTATTGTAGTTGTACAGATTGTGTTGTTGTACTGATTGAATTCGAATACAGAATGTTACAAAGTCAAAAATTAAGTTAATTGTGTATGTACTATTAGGAAGAGGAATTATGGAATATATCATTCATTCCAATTGAACTGTAACTAACTTTTGCTGCCTAGCCTTGGGGATAAATGATTAGGACGGAAAGTATGTATGTATGCATGTATATGTGTTTGTTAAGGTGGGCAAGAGGAGGAGCGGGCGACGGCGACGGCGACGGGGTTGGAGAGAGAAAAGTTGAAAATTTTGAGCATTATAAAAAAATGAAGAAAATGTAGATTTATCATCTCCTTTTTTAATCGACTGGTTAGTTGTTTGTTTTCATTGTTATTGAGGAGGAGAAGAGACATTGGAAAGTTTAATCGGAGGAAGAGACTTTTGTTGCCATCCATCCATATATAACCAGAGCCAGTGTACTTGGCGCTTGGATTTGTTCATTCTCTGTAGTATCTATCTGATTGGCATGCACATTCATATATTTATATATTAGGCGAAGATTTGTAACTGAGATGAATAATGGATAGGTGTTTTTTGTTTTTGTTTTACAACATCCAAATCGAAGTGATGCTATTCATGAGTAGTTTCCTAATATATCATCAAAAGGGTTGTAAAGCTATTCTGGCAGGTACATTCTCCCAGACTTATCATCAGATAAACTAACTTTTTCAGTGTGTGTAACTAGTCAGTCTTACTATTTCCAATATGCAACAGTAAAGTTGGTGATGAAATAGACTGAGTTATCTCTCAGACAGATCCGTCATAGTAAATCAGTGAAATCGAATCCATATCTTAAGTATTATGTGCGTAAGATTTTAAATTTGATTGTATACTTATGTTGATAATGTGTCTATTAAAGTATACCTAGTAGTGAGTGTTCAACCAACCATTGTTCACCTCTTCCTTGGTAGTTTCCTATGTACTGGCTGGCTGTTATCTATAGGGACAAGGAAAATTGGTAAAATCACTTTTTATTCCTCTCTTTCTCTCTCTAATATAGTATGAACACTTCACTGAAGGTTCCCACTGTATTCGGCTTAGAAATGAAGCGTTACTTCACTAATTTTATTGTCCGTATAGATAACAGCCAGCCAGTACATAGAAAACTTCCAAGGAAGAGGTGAACAATGGTTGGTTGAACACTCACTACTAGGTATACTTTAATAGACACATTATCAACATAAGTATACAATCAAATTTAAAATCTTACGCACATAATACTTAAGATATGGATTCGATTTCACTGATTTACTATGACGGATCTGTCTGAGAGATAACTCAGTCTATTTCATCACCAACTTTACTGTTGCATATTGGAAATAGTAAGACTGACTAGTTACACACACTGAAAAAGTTAGTTTATCTGATGATAAGTCTGGGAGAATGTACCTGCCAGAATAGCTTTACAACCCTTTTGATGATATATTAGGAAACTACTCATGAATAGCATCACTTCGATTTGGATGTTGTAAAACAAAACAAAAAACACCTATCCATTATTCATCTCAGTTACAAATCTTCGCCTAATATATAAATATATGAATGTGCATGCCAATCAGATAGATACTACAGAGAATGAACAAATCCAAGCGCCAAGTACACTGGCTCTGGTTATATATGGATGGATGGCAACAAAAGTCTCTTCCTCCGATTAAACTTTCCAATGTCTCTTCTCCTCCTCAATAACAATGAAAACAAACAACTAACCAGTCGATTAAAAAAGGAGATGATAAATCTACATTTTCTTCATTTTTTTATAATGCTCAAAATTTTCAACTTTTCTCTCTCCAACCCCGTCGCCGTCGCCGTCGCCCGCTCCTCCTCTTGCCCACCTTAACAAACACATATACATGCATACATACATACTTTCCGTCCTAATCATTTATCCCCAAGGCTAGGCAGCAAAAGTTAGTTACAGTTCAATTGGAATGAATGATATATTCCATAATTCCTCTTCCTAATAGTACATACACAATTAACTTAATTTTTGACTTTGTAACATTCTGTATTCGAATTCAATCAGTACAACAACACAATCTGTACAACTACAATAAGGGCAATTTTTCTAGTGTCTGTCTTAAACCAACTGAAAAATTATGTTTTTTGTTTAAAAAAAGAGATTCTATTGCAAATTATTCCTACTTTTTTACATATATTTCATCGATTGAAGTTTGAATGTGAATATTTCCCTAAGGTTAAATTGGTGTCTTGTCCACCATTCATCACAGATTCATCCGCCCGAGGAGGAGGTACACATTATTCTACAGTTTCTAACAGCAAATTTACGCATACCTGGAATTCGGAAATAATTTCAGTTATTCAATTGTGGTGATTGACAGTTGTCATTCATTAATAATAGGTGACTGTAACAACAGTGAAGAGATATCATCTTTAATCGAAGAGGCATTTATCTGTCCTCTGTTTCGCACTAGCAGCTGTTCACCAATTGCCCTTGTGGTTGGTATCCATCAATTAATTGATGAACATTTATCAATTTAACATTGGATTTCCATGGGGGATTGTGATGGCGAATGGGAGGTAGGTAAGGTAACTATTTTATCGAGATGATCATGGAGAAGGAAATCATTGTTATACTTTGATTTGAAATGATTCTTCGTATCCTTTCTGTTTTTCTTGGAGTATTCCTGACATTTTTCGAAGTTTCTATCGGAGTCACCTGGCGGTTTTCCTCCAGGTTTTCTTTATCTTCTTCGTCAAAGCTCACGCTGGTATTACACGCCTTTTTCTGATTCCGGCTCTTCCATCAAAACTCATACTGATTTGTGAAGCCCGTTTAAGCTGAACTTGGTTGAGAAATGTCTGTTGCAATATCAGAAGCTTAGTTGTTTACGAATTCCAGCTAACGTGAGTATCCCGCTTTTACATCCAAATATGGCTGGGTAACACAACACTTTCTATTTAGGTAGAGTTCGCTGAGTCACTACTAGTCACTGGTCAAGATCCGTTAATTTCCAGTCTTCTGGATATATGCATTTAGAACATTGTTCTGGTTACTTATTCATTAGGTCGCCCCTTTAGGCGCGTATGAACATTGCACGGGACGATTGGATACGCGCCAAGAGGTAACAGGTTTGTTTTCACATCAACTTTGATCACTGATTAAACGTAAAATTTAATCAGTGATCAAAGTTGATGTGAAAACAAACCTGTTACCTCTTGGCGCGTATCCAATCGTCCCGTGCAATGTTCATACGCGCCTAAAGGGGCGACCTAATGAATAAGTAACCAGAACAATGTTCTAAATGCATATATCCAGAAGACTGGAAATTAACGGATCTTGACCAGTGACTAGTAGTGACTCAGCGAACTCTACCTAAATAGAAAGTGTTGTGTTACCCAGCCATATTTGGATGTAAAAGCGGGATACTCACGTTAGCTGGAATTCGTAAACAACTAAGCTTCTGATATTGCAACAGACATTTCTCAACCAAGTTCAGCTTAAACGGGCTTCACAAATCAGTATGAGTTTTGATGGAAGAGCCGGAATCAGAAAAAGGCGTGTAATACCAGCGTGAGCTTTGACGAAGAAGATAAAGAAAACCTGGAGGAAAACCGCCAGGTGACTCCGATAGAAACTTCGAAAAATGTCAGGAATACTCCAAGAAAAACAGAAAGGATACGAAGAATCATTTCAAATCAAAGTATAACAATGATTTCCTTCTCCATGATCATCTCGATAAAATAGTTACCTTACCTACCTCCCATTCGCCATCACAATCCCCCATGGAAATCCAATGTTAAATTGATAAATGTTCATCAATTAATTGTGATGGATACCAACCACAAGGGCAATTGGTGAACAGCTGCTAGTGCGAAACAGAGGACAGATAAATGCCTCTTCGATTAAAGATGATATCTCTTCACTGTTGTTACAGTCACCTATTATTAATGAATGACAACTGTCAATCACCACAATTGAATAACTGAAATTATTTCCGAATTCCAGGTATGCGTAAATTTGCTGTTAGAAACTGTAGAATAATGTGTACCTCCTCCTCGGGCGGATGAATCTGTGATGAATGGTGGACAAGACACCAATTTAACCTTAGGGAAATATTCACATTCAAACTTCAATCGATGAAATATATGTAAAAAAGTAGGAATAATTTGCAATAGAATCTCTTTTTTTAAACAAAAAACATAATTTTTCAGTTGGTTTAAGACAGACACTAGAAAAATTGCCCTTATTGTAGTTGTACAGATTGTGTTGTTGTACTGATTGAATTCGAATACAGAATGTTACAAAGTCAAAAATTAAGTTAATTGTGTATGTACTATTAGGAAGAGGAATTATGGAATATATCATTCATTCCAATTGAACTGTAACTAACTTTTGCTGCCTAGCCTTGGGGATAAATGATTAGGACGGAAAGTATGTATGTATGCATGTATATGTGTTTGTTAAGGTGGGCAAGAGGAGGAGCGGGCGACGGCGACGGCGACGGGGTTGGAGAGAGAAAAGTTGAAAATTTTGAGCATTATAAAAAAATGAAGAAAATGTAGATTTATCATCTCCTTTTTTAATCGACTGGTTAGTTGTTTGTTTTCATTGTTATTGAGGAGGAGGAGAAGAGACATTGGAAGGTTTAATCGGAGGAAGAGACTTTTGTTGCCATCCATCCATATATAACCAGAGCCAGTGTACTTGGCGCTTGGATTTGTTCATTCTCTGTAGTATCTATCTGATTGGCATGCACATTCATATATTTATATATTAGGCGAAGATTTGTAACTGAGATGAATAATGGATAGGTGTTTTTTGTTTTGTTTTACAACATCCAAATCGAAGTGATGCTATTCATGAGTAGTTTCCTAATATATCATCAAAAGGGTTGTAAAGCTATTCTGGCAGGTACATTCTCCCAGACTTATCATCAGATAAACTAACTTTTTCAGTGTGTGTAACTAGTCAGTCTTACTATTTCCAATATGCAACAGTAAAGTTGGTGATGAAATAGACTGAGTTATCTCTCAGACAGATCCGTCATAGTAAATCAGTGAAATCGAATCCATATCTTAAGTATTATGTGCGTAAGATTTTAAATTTGATTGTATACTTATGTTGATAATGTGTCTATTAAAGTATACCTAGTAGTGAGTGTTCAACCAACCATTGTTCACCTCTTCCTTGGAAGTTTTCTATGTACTGGCTGGCTGTTATCTATAGGGACAAGGAAAATTGGTAAAATCACTTTTCCTCTCTTTCTCTCTCTAATATAGTATGAACACTTCACTGAAGGTTCCCACTGTATTCGGCTTAGAAATGAAGCGTTACTTCACTAATTTTATTGTCCGTATAGATAACAGCCAGCCAGTACATAGAAAACTTCCAAGGAAGAGGTGAACAATGGTTGGTTGAACACTCACTACTAGGTATACTTTAATAGACACATTATCAACATAAGTATACAATCAAATTTAAAATCTTACGCACATAATACTTAAGATATGGATTCGATTTCACTGATTTACTATGACGGATCTGTCTGAGAGATAACTCAGTCTATTTCATCACCAACTTTACTGTTGCATATTGGAAATAGTAAGACTGACTAGTTACACACACTGAAAAAGTTAGTTTATCTGATGATAAGTCTGGGAGAATGTACCTGCCAGAATAGCTTTACAACCCTTTTGATGATATATTAGGAAACTACTCATGAATAGCATCACTTCGATTTGGATGTTGTAAAACAAAACAAAAAACACCTATCCATTATTCATCTCAGTTACAAATCTTCGCCTAATATATAAATATATGAATGTGCATGCCAATCAGATAGATACTACAGAGAATGAAGAAATCCAAGCGCCAAGTACACTGGCTCTGGTTATATATGGATGGATGGCAACAAAAGTCTCTTCCTCCGATTAAACCTTCCAATGTCTCTTCTCCTCCTCCTCAATAACAATGAAAACAAACAACTAACCAGTCGATTAAAAAAGGAGATGATAAATCTACATTTTCTTCATTTTTTTATAATGCTCAAAATTTTCAACTTTTCTCCAACCCCGTCGCCGTCGCCGTCGCCCGCTCCTCCTCTTGCCCACCTTAACAAACACATATACATGCATACATACATACTTTCCGTCCTAATCATTTATCCCCAAGGCTAGGCAGCAAAAGTTAGTTACAGTTCAATTGGAATGAATGATATATTCCATAATTCCTCTTCCTAATAGTACATACACAATTAACTTAATTTTTGACTTTGTAACATTCTGTATTCGAATTCAATCAGTACAACAACACAATCTGTACAACTAGAATAAGGGCCATTTTTCTAGTGTCTGTCTTAAACCAACTGAAAAATTATGTTTTTTGTTTAAAAAAAGAGATTCTATTGCAAATTATTCCTACTTTTTTACATATATTTCATCGATTGAAGTTTGAATGTGAACATTTCCCTAAGGTTAAATTGGTGTCTTGTCCACCATTCATCACAGATTCATCCGCCTGAGGAGGAGGTACACATTATTCTACAGTTTCTAACAGCAAATTTACGCATACCTGGAATTCGGAAATAATTTCAGTTATTCAATTGTGGTGATTGACAGTTGTCATTCATTAATAATAGGTGACTGTAACAACAGTGAAGAGATATCATCTTTAATCGAAGAGGCATTTATCTGTCCTCTGTTTCGCACTAGCAGCTGTTCACCAATTGCCCTTGTGGTTGGTATCCATCATCAATTAATTGATGAACATTTATCAATTTAACATTGGATTTCCATGGGGGATTGTGATGGCGAATGGGAGGTAGGTAAGGTAACTATTTTATCGAGATGATCATGGAGAAGGAAATCATTGTTATACTTTGATTTGAAATGATTCTTCGTATCCTTTCTGTTTTTCTTGGAGTATTCCTGACATTTTTCGAAGTTTCTATCGGAGTCACCTGGCGGTTTTCCTCCAGGTTTTCTTTATCTTCTTCGTCATACCTCACGCTGGTATTACACGCCTTTTTCTGATTCCGGCTCTTCCATCAAAACTCATACTGATTTGTGAAGCCCGTTTAAGCTGAACTTGGTTGAGAAATGTCTGTTGCAATATCAGAAGCTTAGTTGTTTACGAATTCCAGCTAACGTGAGTATCCCGCTTTTACATCCAAATATGGCTGGGTAACACAACACTTTCAATTAGGTAGAGTTCGCTGAGTCACTACTTTCACTAGTCACTAGTCAAGATCCGTTAATTTCCAGTCTTCTGGATATATGCATTTAGAACATTGTTCTGGTTACTTATTCATTAGGTCGCCCCTTTAGGCGCGTATGAACATTGCACGGGACGATTGGATACGCGCCAAGAGATAACAGGTTTGTTTTCACATCAACTTTGATCACTGATTTTAATTTTACGTTTAATCAGTGATCAAAGTTGATGTGAAAACAAACCTGTTATCTCTTGGCGCGTATCCAATCGTCCCGTGCAATGTTCATACGCGCCTAAAGGGGCGACCTAATGAATAAGTAACCAGAACAATGTTCTAAATGCATATATCCAGAAGACTGGAGATTAACGGATCTTGACTAGTGACAAGTAGTGACTCAGCGAACTCTACCTAATTGGAAAGTGTTGTGTTACCCAGCCATATTTGGATGTAAAAGCGGGATACTCACGTTAGCTGGAATTCGTAAACAACTAAGCTTCTGATATTGCAACAGACATTTCTCAACCAAGTTCAGCTTAAACGGGCTTCACAAATCAGTATGAGTTTTGATGGAAGAGCCGGAATCAGAAAAAGGCGTGTAATACCAGCGTGAGGTATGACGAAGAAGATAAAGAAAACCTGGAGGAAAACCGCCAGGTGACTCCGATAGAAACTTCGAAAAATGTCAGGAATACTCCAAGAAAAACAGAAAGGATACGAAGAATCATTTCAAATCAAAGTATAACAATGATTTCCTTCTCCATGATCATCTCGATAAAATAGTTACCTTACCTACCTCCCATTCGCCATCACAATCCCCCATGGAAATCCAATGTTAAATTAGTAAATGTTCATCAATTAATTGATGATGGATACCAACCACAAGGGCAATTGGTGAACAGCTGCTAGTGCGAAACAGAGGACAGATAAATGCCTCTTCGATTAAAGATGATATCTCTTCACTGTTGTTACAGTCACCTATTATTAATGAATGACAACTGTCAATCACCACAATTGAATAACTGAAATTATTTCCGAATTCCAGGTATGCGTAAATTTGCTGTTAGAAACTGTAGAATAATGTGTACCTCCTCCTCAGGCGGATGAATCTGTGATGAATGGTGGACAAGACACCAATTTAACCTTAGGGAAATGTTCACATTCAAACTTCAATCGATGAAATATATGTAAAAAAGTAGGAATAATTTGCAATAGAATCTCTTTTTTTAAACAAAAAACATAATTTTTCAGTTGGTTTAAGACAGACACTAGAAAAATGGCCCTTATTCTAGTTGTACAGATTGTGTTGTTGTACTGATTGAATTCGAATACAGAATGTTACAAAGTCAAAAATTAAGTTAATTGTGTATGTACTATTAGGAAGAGGAATTATGGAATATATCATTCATTCCAATTGAACTGTAACTAACTTTTGCTGCCTAGCCTTGGGGATAAATGATTAGGACGGAAAGTATGTATGTATGCATGTATATGTGTTTGTTAAGGTGGGCAAGAGGAGGAGCGGGCGACGGCGACGGCGACGGGGTTGGATTGGAGAGAGAAAAGTTGAAAAT